GTAGGTTCTCAACATGAAGTAAGGTTCTCAACATGAAGTAAACTTATTCCCTAAAATTATATTTTAAAACATTATTATTATTATTAAAGGACAACCCATCATTCAGTGAAATAGTGGTCGGCGCTCCTAGCCGCCGAAACGTATCCATGGGCTGACCGAACTGGTCACCCTAACTTTCAGAAATGATTCACACACTCTAGATCGTTTCAATTTGGTTTGATTTAATCGCTCAAGACGAATATGTCTCCATCATTTTTATTTTCAGTGTTTTTTAATCTAGAAAATGCCACTGACGTATTTTTAATAAAGGGTTGAAGAGTTTTTCATTACTATTGAGGGTAAAAATATAAGTTTTTTTTTCATAATTCCCTGTTTCCCCTTTTTCTTTCTTTTTCCCCCTCGTTTTTTTCCCCATACACCTTCTCTTACCCCTATACCCATTCTCATTAACCCCTAAAAAGCTCAAATTTGAAATGAAAAAAAATAATTACCCCTGAGAAGAGGTCAATTTAGATTACTTTGAACTTCACTGTGAACGTATTTTTAAGTGACCCTTCATCTAGAGATTCATAACAATACTCTTTAAACCTTTGTATGAGCAACATCGAGGAAGATATCTTCGTTTATCTAATTGTTGAAAATTATCAGATTTAAATGAAAAAATCAAGGAAAGTTGTGAATTTTTAGTATTTTACCAAACTCTTGTGAAACGGGGTTGCAACAATCTCGTTGAGATTCTCTTTAATAATAGAGAGTCTCCAGAAACGGAGCTGTCTTGGGCTGATCGCCTGGATTTTAGAAAGTCTCCAGAAACGGAGCTGAGTGCTAAGTAAAAATAAAGGATAATAATCCCTTTTCTAGAAAATTTAATTTTCCCTAGAAGTATTTTAAACTCAAACAGAAGATATTTGTTGGAAAAATTTCTTTCGCTGAAAAAAAGTTTAAATAAAAATTGAAGATTTAAAAAGAAATAATGTTGAAACTTATCAAATCTCGAAAAATTTATATCATTTTTTTAATTTCTTATCAAATCAGAATTTGATTATAATATATTTATTTTCCGCATCTGTGGCCATTGACAAATTGTTAACATAATAAATCTCAGGAAGACATTGAAAAAGATTTGCACGTCGCAGAACACAATGTTGGGAAATTTAGCAATTATGACAAATATGCAAAGTGTTCACCTTTTTAGATAAGTATTTTTTGTGTGTGAGGGGNCAACCCCCCCCCCCTTTATAAAAAAAGTTTTTTCCTCAGATATGAGGTATGTATTATTAAATGGTTTATACGCACGCTGAATCGGGGGAAATAAACGATTTTTTATGGGAAATAAAATTAATTTTGAATATAAAATATGCTTTTTTTAAAAAAAACATTCATCTCAGAGCACTTCTGTAAAAAAAGATATTGGGGTTCCTTGGGACCGAATTTAATGAATTTGTGCTAGGTTTCTGAACTATCTTTCGCCGGTTCAAATCCTGAAACACTGATTCAAAGTTAAAGATTTATGAATCGGTGATTTAGGATTTGAACATGTGGTAAGTAGTTCAGCGACCTCTCTAATTCATTAGATTTGGTCCCCGGTGTATCTTCCTTGGTTTTACCAAGCTATCCTTTAATAATCCATGACCCCTCCGCTCCCTTTAACAGAACAATTGGTCTGGTTACCTTGAGAAAAAGGTGTGAGCTAAGATGATAGCACCAGACAGCGCTGGAGTTCCTCGTCACAAATTTCAAGTTCTCCTTCATGTCACACACCACCTTGACCCCGGGCAGGCTAGTGCTCATCGGCGGCAGGGAGCTGAAACAGTTGTAATTATTATTAGATTACAACTAGAAAACAAAAGCAGTGTTACCCCTACCCCCACCCACCCTTTCTAAAACGCATTTTTCTTGTTCTAAATTTAAAATAGTAAAATAAATTAATTATTTGGGACAAAAGTATCAAATAGAGGCTTAACAGCTTGAAAGTTTATCTCCACTTTTATTCCCAAAACTTTGAAACTCATTTTCCAAAGAACAATCTGCTCAATTTTCTAATAAATAAAGCAAAATAATATGAATGCTTCCATACATATATTCATTTTTAATCACTTGAACATGAGTTATTTAATAATTGCACTGTAATGATTGAAAATAAACAAACAACTAAAGTGCAGATTTTTTTTCCAGAGGGACTCAGCACCCGTTTTGGCCAGAAAATTTCCTGGGTTGCATAGATTTTACTGACACAGGGGGACTGGGCTCTAATAGACCCCCCCCCTCTGTATAAGCTTATAGATGGCATGACGCATATTATATTAATTTATTATTATAAATTATCATGTTACATTAATAACATGATTCTTTGGTAATTTTTAACCAAATATGCAGCACACCCCTCCCCCTTCTGAAAAAGAGCAACGCTCGTGACAGTCTATTTATCTTAACCTGAGCCCGCGATTTTAAATCTTCGGCTCGGGTCGTAATTCCTTAAACCCTTCATTGAAGACCCAATCTAAGACCCAACTCTGACGACAGCTTGTGTCACGTGATTGACAGCTAGGAGTGTAAAACAAAATATAGCTTGAATCCGAAATCCCAAGCCGTAAACAAGGCCCAACTACAGCTTAGACCCGAGTCATATTTTCTTGAATTTTTTAAATCGCGGGCTCTAGATAGTACTATCACGGGGGANGGGGGGGGGTCCAGATGAACTAAGAGAGGACAGGAACAATTTTTTAGAGTTTATTTCATTGGCAACACCTTTTTCGTAAAGGAAAATTGTAAAAATCTTAAGTCGGATTTCCAAAAAAGATGATCATATATCTACTCGATTAAATGAATAAACTGGCATCATTTTCATAAATAAAACAGTAAAATAAATATCTTTTGAAGAAACTAAATGATTCTTTTGGGGGAATACATTATTTTTCAGGATAAAAATATCAGATGGTAAGTTGAAGTCGACCGACCGACCCTCCACCCTACCAACTTAAAAAATCGACACAAATCTGGAAAAATATTGCTTTGCGAAGTGCGACAATCTTTCCTACCTTGACTCGGAGAAAATCTCCTTGAGAATTCTGTCTGAGTATGTTCCCTTCTGTATCTGTTTCCTGATCTGTTCTTGTTTTCTCTTCTTCCATTCCTCTAGTTCTCTAGCAGAGTGGGCAGCTGGACACATCACGCCCAGTCGGCACATCTCCTAAACAAAGATAAAAAACTGCTCAGGGGGAGAACAATTATTTTTCAACAGAAGGGATAATTTTTAAGGAAAGTATAAACCACTGAAAAAGGATAAAATAGTTCATTTTTTTCTCGGAAACCTGCAATAATTTAAGTTTATTTTTATTTGCCATTTCTGGATTTTAACAGTATCCACAAAAAAAATCAACTTAGAGAATTTCTTAAAAATTTGCTATTATGTCCCGAGTGAAAACATTAACGCGTAAAAAAAACGAACCAGTCCAATCGACATGTTTGATAAAGTCATGGAACTAAGATAAGATATCCCTGAGGTCCAGAATGATTTTATATTTTGTAAACCAAAATATGTACAGTGGATACTTTTTTATAATGGTAAACAATACTTTATAAAACCGACAGTGTGAGCGTTTAATTAGATGTAAGTAAATGACAATTAATTTTACACAAAACATCTTCGATAACTTTTTTGAAATAATTTAGATTTTTGACAATATATTTTGATTACATGTACATTTGCTCTCTTTGCAATTTCATATCGAAAAATATTATTTTGTCAAACTTTGGCGCGCGTTTAACAGATACTTCGTTATAGCAGAGTCAATTTTTTATTAAATAAAATAAAATCCAAACCTTGTCTCGACAAATAACCAGCTCTTCTCCTACATCTCCCCCCGGAGGGGGACGGAATTCCCATTTATGTGGTTCGTTCATTGTAATATAGTCAAACTTATTTAATCATACTAATCTAATAAAAAATATATATTAAGAAACAGTAAATTTTGTTTACACAAATACTATGAACCAATCCCAAAACAGCACCAAAAATGCTCTAAACGGTTTTTAAAGTTTATTATTATCATGATCATGATTTATCATGATCATGATTTATCATGATATATCATATCATATCTTCAAGCTTTAACGCCAAAATAAACCTAATACTCGAACAACCAAATATTTTCTGCAAGGAAAAAAATATATATAGTCTTAATCAATTTTACAAAATTATATATTCTTAAAATTTCTTTTTTAGTCCCCAAAAACGTAATTTAGACTGACTGACGATCTAATATGATATGGGACGAGGGAGGGAGTCCAGAGTTCCTCAAATAGTAATCACCGTCATACGCCCCTGTAACCCTGTACATATGATATTTTTTCAGCCAGTTGCTTTCTGCTCATGAAGGTGTATAGTGACTTCTGGCTCCACAGTTTGGAGGAGTTCTTATGTTTAGTTGCTCATGACTTATCCTAAAAGGGAGTAGCAACATATGATTTAAATAGTAAACAAGAACTCCATCTTCAGCTTATGGATTCATCAACATCCAAGCTAAAAGAAGTAACACAAAAGTATAACCCCTATAATAGGTATACAAGACATGCACAACGATACTGGTTTTTTACTTGGCTGCCTGTGAGGTCTGGACTACGCAGTGGAAGATTCCACCTGATGGGGCTTTAAGGCTTTTAACTCTCCATTTTGCATAAGCAGTGCAGTTATGGACTTCCTTAAATTTTGCTTAATTTGGAAAGACTGTAAATCTGGGAGAAATTAGGAATCTTCTGTGGGAGTCCCTCGATTCCCTCGCCTTCCTGATCTAATCCAAACTTCCCTCTTTCCTATCTGCTCCACAACTCGATGTCACTGTGTCACAAGAACTATTTGGAGAGGCCTCAAAACATAGAAACAAGAAACAAGAAGAGAAACGAAAATTGAACAGGAAAATGGAAGGGAACTGTCCAATGATATGCTTTACACTATCAATTTTTCCCAATAGCAAATGGAGACAGTATTGAAGATGGAGCTGGGAGATGTTCCCCCCCCCCCCCTCCATAAAATACACTAGATATGTATTTGTAGCTGAATTAGTTCAATTTGAATTTAGTTGCTGATTCATCTAATGTGTCTAGTGCAGAAAAATAAGAAAGGCACCTTAATCTGTTCTAAAGCTGGCAGTTTGGCAAACTGCAAAGATGTCTCAAAAAAAAAAGAATTTCAAAATTAGCCAAAATATTATTGAAAGATGTACAAACAAGAAGAAAATGAAGAACAAGGAATGTTGAAATGTCAAAATATTTGCATCTGCTATTATATAGCTATTTTAAGAAAATTGTTAAAAATTTTAAATTTTAAAAAAAGTATGTAAAAAAATATTTTTTCAATCAATCTAAATAAATGTCAAAGTTTTTAATTCCTTTATTTTCCCTAGCTTTCCATTTTGGTTTTTCTTTCCAGGCTCTTTCCTTTCTTAATTCCTTTCATTTCTTCCTTCACTTTCATTTAGTTCCAATTTCCCTTTTCTTTTTTATTTTTCTTTCTTCTAATCCTTTATTTTGATTTTTCTTACTTTTTTCTACTGTGATAACCAGAAAACTCTGGAATAGGAAGACAATATTAAAGGCACACATTAAGTTTATTTGATGTTGTTACAAATGTTGTTTCACTAGAACTTATTAATTCAATTACCAATTGAAATTGGTCTGTTTACGCTGCACAATTTTATTGTGTTTCATGTTTATTTGACTATTTAAAGTCATATTACGAGCCAAAAAGTCGTCTTCCTATTCCAGAGCTTTATAATCAATCCTTCCTTCCTTCATTTTCATTTAAACTTTAATTTTCAGTATGTTTCTTCTTTTTTCACCAATTCATCTTCATCTCAATTCAATTATTTTTCCCTTTATTTTTCCTTGTTATTTTTTTCTTTCTTCCATCATTTTCCTATCTTCCTTTTATTTTTTCCCTTCAGGATATTTCCTAATCAAAACAAAACTAATTTTCATACACCATTTTAAACGAAAAATTTTTATTTTAAAATATATACCTCTTTTTAAAATTTATTTCTACCTAATCTAAATAATAAAACAAGACATTCGTCTATATATGTATGTCATGCGTATAGCCGGCCAAACGGCTGTACATATTGGGGTGAATTTTTGTGTGGACACTCATGGGTGGCCGGGGGGTTTTATAGGCTAAAAAAATCAGCTTGTGTTTAATATATGCCCCTTCAGAACCACATATTCTAAAAAACCCAAAACAGATTTATTGCGTCTAAATATTAAGGACTAAAGCAGGTTTGTTATCTTGAGCTAAATCTGAGACTTCTATATATGTGGAACATAGAATTGTAAAACAGAGAAAACTTTACAACTTTACATTTCACAACCTGAGGTATCATACTTTATAAACAAACTCTGATTTTATTACTCCTATTTCTTTGCAACCTAATTTCGTAGACCTTTGTTATTTTAAACTTTGAATCATGTTAAATCAAATGTGTCTCATAAGTTTGAAATATCAAAAATTTTCGCAATCAGATTACAAAAATTTAGGAATCTAAAAAGTCTGAGTTAGCGACAAATACTTAATTCTTTTATTTTTTTAAACTTGTTGTGCAGCATAATATCAAACCCATAATAACTACAGGGTCACAAAGTCCTTCTGGCTATAAAGCAGAGTCTAATTAGGATATTCAAAAGGGTTTTTAAGTAAAAGATGACCAGGTTTGATTTTGAAAATTCTTTCTTTACTAAAACCTGCCAATTTAGTTTCTCCTTTATTTGTGTGTTTTTCATATGTAAATCATTATATGGAAAAATGTCTCAGATTTCCAATTTTTCAAAATGAAAATGTAAACTACAAAAACGATATGATTCTCCAATTTTAAGTTGAAAAATATAAAAATTGTGTTACATGAAAAATAATGTACATGAAAGTCAAACTGTATATTCATTTGATTTTATGATTTGACTTTTCTATTTATTACTTCTCTCTGATAAATGTCTGGTTTGCAGGATAGCTAGAGAGAGTTTAGAGAATATTTTTTAGTTTTCATTTTCTCAGGATACAACGTAAAAGGTCCGCAAAAGTTCGTTTCATCTCAGACTTGAATTTAATTTTAATTCTCAAAAAAGTGATATTTTAAAAAGAACTGTGATTGTAAAATTTTTTAATTTTTTTCAGTCCTGAAAAAACTTTTTTTCTATTCAATTTTCTTTAAAAATCTATTCCAAGATTCATACTTCACCTCCTTTCTTCTTTAAATAATTAAGTTGTTGATTTAATTTTTTCGTAGCATTCGATAACATGTATTTCTGTCCTTCCGTGGAACTTCCGTTTCCGAATTCTAAGGATTACAATCACACTTTAAATGCATTTTTACAATTTAGATTTGAGTCTGCGTCAGTTATTTATTATGTTGGAAGTATATGAATTAATGAGGGAATACAAGGAAAATCATATTATTATTATCATTGTAATTTTGCATTCAGACATTAGATTTGTGCAATTTTGCTTTCAAAATGCAACCGTTGCAATTTTCCAGAGGTTGAAAAACACACTTAGTAAAGGTTAAAGATTATATCTAAATTTAGTGCTGAGGCTTAATTTGATTACAGAATTCGGTAGAATAACGGGAAATTTTAAGTTTGGTTTAAAAATTCTAAGTTGAGTATACGGATTGACTTTTATGGCAAAAGTTTAGTTTCCAGGCAGGATGGGGTTCCCAAGCATATTAATATTTATACAATAATCATATATGATATGATATTCATTTCATGCGTTGCAAAATTGCAAATAATATATAAATATATCTATTTATTTATTGATTAAAAACGTTCATGTTTCAGATTGAAAAATGACTGAACTAAACGGTCTACAAACATTGCTAGGAAAATAATAAATAAATAATAAAAGATTAGTATTGTGAATAAATCATTTTTAAGGGCAATCGACTAACCATTTTTTGGCCCACCCTAACAAAAAAATGAAATTAACGAAATTGCGACATACTTAGCTAATTAAATATTCATAAATGGTAAAAGAAAACTACAGATGATTTTCTTCAGTTAAAAAAAACTATTTGATGAAAACTTTAAATCTCAATTACTTCTGAGTCTGACCTCTAATAAAAAATGAATACATAAACTTTACTTTTGTCTTTATTGTTTATTACTAATACAAAATTAGAATAAGGGGTCGAAAAAATGTACCATTTTTTTAAAAACTAAATCCACCAAAAAGTTCATTTTATATAATCAAAAGATTTCATTACCTTCAGCTATAACATGAGAAATTTCTGCGCAATTCCTATACAGTGATAGTCTTTATAACCCGGAATAATCTTAATTGATTGATACTTTAAAGTCGTCTTTGACTATTTGGTTATTTTTGGATTTTTTTAAAAATATAAGATGAAAAGTCTTTTTCCGGTTTTCCGGTTTTGCGAATTTCTGGTCTTTTTTGCTTTAACTGTTCTATATTCAAATAGATGAAAAGTCATTCAATTGCAACTACGTTTGCAAAAAAATTCTCAATTTCGAAATTTTAATTTAAAGATGAAAAGTCTGCAACTACGCTTGCAAAATTATTCGATAAAGTTTTTGATTAAACCTTAATCAATAGAGAGCTCTACGAAAAGCAGCTCATTACAGCAATAGATAAAATAGATAAAATAGATAAAATAGATAAAATGAGAGAATTTTTCTCTCTATGATTCTACAAATGATAAATACTATTGTTGATCTATTTTATATTGAATAAAGTTGTTATGAAGAAGTCTTTGACTATAGAAAAAGTTTGCGGTATTCAACCTGATTTAAGCAACAATTTTTTTATGAAACAATAATATTGCATGCATGAATACCGGAGATATACGAATTTTGTTTTTTTCAGTTAATTAAATAAAACCATGAAAATATCTCATTCTAAATGAAATCATTCATTTCTCTAGTAATTGTAAAAGCACACAGATGATTGACCACATTTGGAAATGGACTAGGGCTTTTCTTTAATAACTGTTTCATAAAAATATATTGTTAAAAGCAGTTTACCATTGAATTGAATACCGATAACTAGTTCTTTGGCCAAAGACGAATTTGAATCATTCAATATTTTTATTATTTCGGCTTATTTAGACTATCACTGTAAGTCTGGTCTGCTTTGCATTTATATATTTGCAAATATATGCACTATGCAGTAAGAATATGCACGTATTGTCATTCAATAACCTCCGGCATGAAACTTATATTTTTTTCAAATCCGGGTTTTGGATAAAGATTTTTTTCTTCAGAATAATACAAAAGTTGAGAAATTTTATGAATAATTGGGAAAAAAATTAAAATTAAATTTTGTTGAATCTTTTAGATAAAATCCTCGCGAAGAATATTTTTGTTTTTAAAGTTAATTCTCTGAAAAGACAAAAAATTACAGTCAAAAATTGGACACAACATCTTTACTTTAACTTTATTTTAAACTAAAAGCTCTTGAAAGATGACTTTTTATTTACCTTTACGCTGGTTAATAGTTATGACTGTGGAATGTGAAAATTATTAGTATTCTGTTACTCTAGGTTTCTGTTACTTTTAACGCCATAATCCAATGTATAGCGAAACTAGGTTTCTAAACCCGAAACTTGGTTTTCAAAATCGAAACCAGGCTCTAAGATGCCCTTTTATTACCGTCTCAAGTTTCCAACTCTGAGCAGACGTGGTTGCAAGAGAATGCCAATTCTGAAATATTTTTGCTTTTAATTCTTAGTTTGAACTGAAAAGGGTCAGTACCATAGAGAATAGAATATATAGAGAGGAATTAACTAGAAAAAAGTGTAAAACGGCCATTTTGTTGTACTGTTTCCATTCTGCAGGTGTACTTCACATATTTATGCTATATAACCTGTTGGGCCCTGGAATATCATTTTATAGAAAATCTAAAATTATTGTTAAAAGAAAACCAAATTATGAAATAGGCTGGTTTCATAATTGACCAATGATCATTTCACATAGACTCTATGCCTTCCACTTTACAAACGATGATTTTCCGTTATAACTATAAATCATATGATGTTTTTTATTCACCTAATTCATTATAAAGTTTATTTAACAGTTTAAAAAATTCTAAATTGAAATGAATAGTCTAGGAAACATGCTGTATTAATGTACTCTACTGCATATAATTTGTGAACATTTACATGATTTGTACACTTTGAACTCCCTTTCAGGCTGAAAGGGACTGAACAAATTCATACCGAGAGATTCTTTTAATTCCTCTCTATATATTCTATTCTCTATGGTCTGCAGTACACTTTATTTTTAAGCTCCAAAAACAAAAGTAGGCACTAAATTTTCCTAATTTGCTGAATTTAAGTACAGATTTTTTTTTAATATCGTATTACATATCTAAAATTAAATGCCGCGGAAAAATGAGTTTAATATTAATATAGCAATTGCATTCATATTTCAGGGCTATATTAAAATCATTTTTCTGCAGTATTTGAGCTTAAATATGTAATACGACATTATAAAAAAAACTTTTGCTAGTATTCATAATCTGGGATTCACTGCATAATTTTTTTTCTCTTTTAATAAAAGGATGAAATCTAAAATTTATTACAACCATTTTCTTAAAGTAAAAAACTACAATTAGTTTAACTGTGCAATTATTTTCATCTTTTTGATTTATTTTGTAACGTTACGTTAGGGATGTATCAAAAGTTGCTCCGCAATCACCCGATCCCGACTAAGAGTCTGACAAGTGCAATTATTGCAGGGCTTGGATCCAACCTCTACCAGGTAACAATATTAGAAAGAGGAGGATCGAGTGGATCCAACCTCTCCCAGGTAACAATACTAGAAAGAGGAGGATCAAGTGGATCCAACCTCTCCCAGGTAACAATACTAGAAGGAGGAGGATCAAGTGGATCCAACCTCTCAATAGGTAACAATACTAGAAGGAGGAGGATCAAGTGGATCCAACCTCTCAATAGGTAACAATACTAGAAGGAGGAGGATCAAGTGGATGAGGATATTTCGTTAATTTTTAATTGGAATTGGAATCGTCTTCTTAGAATTTCTAATACAGGGTGTCCCAAAAAACATGGGAATTCAGTGACGAATTGGATATCGTCTTTGTTATGAATTAGCAATATTGTAATACCTAATTTCAAAAGCCATAATATTATTATGTCTGCTAGAGTTTATTTTATGAAAAGGGTAAAAGACTGTAACCCGGGTAGAATCTTAGAGTCTGAAACCTAGTCTTAGACGCCGGGCCGACCTCCTCAGACCCTCTGTTTTTGGAAAAAAATATCAAATTTCA